TTTTATTTATTAAATTCACTAATTTCGTACCTATTTTATTTATTAAATTCACTAATTTCGTGGTCCTCTTGACCAATTAATATATTACAATTAATTAAGGTTTTTAGTTGAGTTAAAAAAGCCAATGTCACGAGCGGGATTCGAACCCACGACCTTCGGCTAGATAAGCCGCTACTCTACCACCTGAGCTATTGTGACTTCGATCCACTCGGACACTATCTTCCCATCTCAACCCCACCTTTTGAATGGCAAAAAGGAGGGAACATTCAAAAGATGGGGTTGAGATGGGAAGTTAGTGTCCGAGTGGATCGAAGTCATGATAGCTCAGGTGGTAGAGTAGCGGCATATCTAGCCGAAGGTCGTGGGTTCGAATCCCGTTCGTGACAATGACTTTTTTATCTCAACTAAAAACCTTAATTAATTGTGAATACTGTTACAGCCCTTGGAATGTTGGGACTGAATCGGTCCTTAAGGCAATTTGAGGTCGCCTGTAAAAACTTAAATATGTCAAACTTTAGACATATTTAAGGTTGTTTTCCCTGATGATGACCTTAAAATAAGTCGAAAGCTTGGCAGTAGCAGCTAAACTAAACCATACCTTGATCCTGAGTGTTCATAAGTGAAAAAGTGGTCGATACTTCTAAAACTGAAAATTAAAACAGTGGTGCGCTAATTTTGTCCATTCAAACCTCCGTATAAAAGTAGCAGTCTGCTGTTTGCTGAGAAAGGACTTCGACAACTGCCTCTGACAGAGGGCAGGAAGACTACCGCCCTATAACATGTCTGAATGGATACTAAAGGAACCTCTATAATAAAGGAACATTTGTGGACTAAATAACGTATTTTGTAAGGGCCAAAATGAATAACTCATTCCGTCCATAACCTAAAAATTTAACCTAACCCTAATCTCAATCTAAGGCTATAGCTAGTATGGAGAGATTTATTCGTCAGAATTCAATGATTACACTAAGTGCATATTCTCACTATCAGATTCTTGGATTTAGCGAAGGAAGATGAAATATATTTGGAAAATCTGCGGTTTATGTGCTGAGCGATACCAAACCGAATTAATGAAGTATTTGCAGCAAGGGATGATAGCAAGGGAGACTACCTAATCTAAACCGTCTTTATGTCTAACCTTAACCTAACCCTTACTTAATTTAACTCTTATTTAAGCTATTAGCTTAGCCGTAACCTATGCCAACTTAACCCCAATCTTAACCTAACACATCCCTAACGTTACCTAACCAGCTCTTAACAATAATCTTAACCTATCCCAACTCGCCTTTAACCCTAATCTTAATTTAACCTCACGACCCACCCGTCTGTACCAAACATTAACCCTAATCTGACCGAAACCATCCTTCTCTAATCTTAATCTAACCCCTCCCTACCCATAATAAATTGTTTATAATTTTTAGTTATTTGTAATTATTATTAATATTCTTAACTTAACCCAATTCAACCAGTCTCTAACCCTAATCTTATCCTAACCTATCCGTAACCATAATCTTAACCTAATCCGTATCAAACTAACCTAACCCGTCCTTAACCCTAACCTTAACCTAACTTGTCTCTAGCCCAGCTCTAACCTTAGCACAAACACCTTAACGTTTTAGGGGACCTTGCAGAATTCGGAAAGGTTCTATAGTAATAAACAAAAGGCGAAATTAGACAATGGACAAATTGTGTTAGAATAATTCAGTGTTTTTAAGTTTGCACAATATCTATGTTTTTGTATTATTTTTGGGCCCAGCAAACTATCTGGTTTTTTCCTATCTTTCTCGCCGTTTAATCTTACTAATTTCTTTTCCTGATTCTCCGGCCAAGTTATGATGGTATACAATATGGCGATCCTGGCTCTCTCTCTTTTTTTTATCCTAATACTAGCCTCCTGTCTCACGGCCTCGTCAATTGTGGATAAAATAACACAAATAACAAATACAAATACACATAAAAACAGAACAAGGGGGACCGCGGTAGCCGAGTGGTTAGCATGAGAGACTCTCACGCCGCGGTCGTGGGTTCGATTCCCACCGTCGCCTCTGGCCCTTTTTTCCCGATAACCCCCAATTGAACGACATATATACAACATATTTATATACAAGTATTTTTCTTAATTCATGCTAATAAATGACATCCACCCACTATTTTATTCACACAAGGAATAAATCCTAAGCGTATTGGTTATATACCACAACGGTCAGACCCGTGTGGTATATTGTGGCATGTGGTATATCTAGAGTTTTATTGCATGGTTATAAGCTTGCAAAATTTATAGCGTGGGTCTAGAGAATTCCCTGGGTCAAAATTTGGGCCTTTGACCTCCATGTTCTATTTTAGATCCATTTGGATTATCCGATTATGGAATCAGACATGTCTATTAGTTTCAAGGGTTTTATCCTTCCAAATATCTCTTATTATTATTATTTGGTAGGGTCTGACCACCAAAACCCCGTTTAGTAGGGGGCCTTGATTATATGTATGTAAGTATTGAAAGGTTTTGCCTCTTTAAAAAAGCTTGTTATGTGAACAAATCGTTTAATTAAGGGCCGTCAGAACCCGTTCAACGACTACAACTAAAAGGAAGGAAAAGTCACAGTCGAGTCGTGATGTTTTACATTTTTTCATTGATCGCGTCTGTGATTCATCTGGTCCTCCTGCTCTCGCTTTGTTTTTTACCGATTAAAACCCGACCTATTTTGTTTCTTGACTTATTGAAGTACCGCCTCATCAATTACGATAAATCACTTTCGACACTTGAAAAATCGATTGGAACATTTTACATGCTTAAAAGTGTGATTTGTTGTCAATTGTGATTTGTGATTCAGTCCAATCTTTGCTTTCTCTTTATAACATCAAATTTGTTTAAAAAACAAACAAACAAAAATGTTCAATTCGGTTGGCTTTTACAATCATTTTGACACCATCCTCCTAAAACGTATTTTTAAACACTACTTACGTGACACCAATTTATTATTGTCAAAAATGCTTTGTAATTATCGAATAGTGGATGTCTGTTATCATAAACTTACTCATTTAATTATAAATCAATTTAATCAGAGGAAACTTGATTTATTGATAAAGGTTGACACATACAGGAATAATCTTTCATCCGCCGATTCTGTGGGGCACCCATGCCTTAAAATAAGCGCGCGCTTAAAAATTAAAATTTTTGTTAAGATAAATAGAAAAGTTAGTCATAGGAGATTGTCTATCAACTAGAATTAATCATAGACTGCTCAAAAATGAATGTAATTTATTCTTATTCTGTTAATTGTAATTGAATTAACCGATATATTCTTATTAGTTGGATAAAGCAAACCCAAAATAAAAAAATTTTTAATCCTCATTTTTAATAACAGATTTACTTAAGAATAGTAAATATGAAGATTACTCATTTTGTTAAAAAACACCTTTTCTCGTCTTTTCTCAATTTTAATCCAGTTGTATTCTCTTTAACTATGGAAAGGACTTGAACCAGAAGTTCGCAATATTATTGTGAGAATGAGACAATGAAGCCACTGGCAAGTGGATATCGCAGAATCAGGTGGGGTTTTTCGTTAATTTAGTGCGAAGAAAAATTAATTTTACGAGGAAAAAATCTCTATATATGTTCAGACTTGATATGTAATATCAGGTGAAAAAAAAATCTCTTTAGAGGACTCTTCTCGACAAAACTAAAAGTAAGTGATAGCATGTTTATCCTTTAGTAAAAAGTTTCACTGTATTTAATTATTATTAGCTGATCAATTTTGATGAACAGGGCAAACATAGGAAATTGGTTATAGTAAATAGCCTTGGGTCCACGTTTGTTTCCAGCTCACTACGTCCTGTTTATTATTTATTTTTAAAGTTTTAACTTTTAATTTCAATTAATTTCCTTATGGTTTTTAAGAGACGAGAGTTAATTTGAAATTAATAAGGGTTAATTTTGCGCAAAAAGACTTAATTTTACAAGGAAAAAAACTCTATCTATGTACAGACTGATAAGTGATATCAGGTGAAAAAAATCTCTCTTTAGAGGACTCTTCTCGATAAAATTAAAGTATGTGACAGCACGTTTGTCCTTTAGTAAAAGGTTTCACTGCATTTAATTATTATTAGCTGATCAATTTTGATGAACAGGGCAAACAGGAAATTGGTTATAGTAAATAGCCTTGGGTCTACGTTTGTTTCCAGCTCACTACGTCCTGTTTATTATTTATTTTTAAAGTTTTAACTTTTAATTTCACTTAATTTCCTTATGGTTTTTAAGAGACAAGAGAGTTAATTTGAAATTAATAAGGGTTAATTTAGCGCAAAAAAGACTTAATTTTACGAGGAAAAAATCTCTATATATGTACAGACTGATAAGTGATATTAGGTGAAAAAATCTCTCTTTAGAGGGCTCTTCTCGATAAAATTAAAGTAAGTGATAGCACGTTTGTCCTTTAGTAAAAGGTTTCACTGCATTTAATTATTATTAGCTGATCAATTTTGATGAACAGGGCAAACATAGGAAATTGGTTATAGTAAATAGCCTTGGGTCCACGTTTGTTTCCAACTCACTACGTCCTGTTTATTATTTATTTTTAAAGTTTTAACTTTTAATTTTATTCCTGTATTTGCTTTCCTTTAAAAAGATTTTCTTACTTCTTTTTTTTTTTAAGGAAAAACGGTTATTTTAATTTATGAATTAATTTTTTACGGAATTAACAGTAATTATCTCTTGACCTGGGGGGGGGGGCTGTAAAAATACACCGTCGGACGGATATTCAAATGGATGCTAAACAATGGCGTAATTCGCTGGTTTGATTTTTGTAGTATTGCAGGTGAAAAAGGAAATCCGTAGATGGAGAAAGGAAAGAGGGGAAGAAGAAAGAAGAGTAGAGAGTGAGCAGGAGCGAAAAGGGGGCGAATCGGGGGTGGCCAGGGCGAGAAAGGGGTGGTATTTGAAAACTGTTTCACCTTCGGAAACTTGAGAATCGCATATGCGCATTACTCTCATTCCTAATCAAGTATTGATGGAATCAAAAGGCGAGGGATTGGGGCGAATTAAATAAATGTAGAAATTGCGCGAGTCGAACGCTAAAATGCTCCTTTTTGCGCACGGGACCCGGACAAAAGAAATAATCAATGGTCCGACTGGGAGGCTGTTCTACCCAGTACCCAGTTCTCACCGAGATGTCTACCCAACAACTTCAGGCAAGTCGCCCCCTACAATAACAAACCCCATTCACCCCCTTACAAACTCGTCATTTTACACTATTATACGACTTATTATATTCAAAACAATATATCAAATACATTAAAATGTACAGCATGACATTTTATGCATAACTATATTGTTTGCCTTATTCTTCATTGTTTAACAATTATAATTTAAAAATAAAAATTTAAATTCAAAATTATAATTTTTTAATTATATGCGCCCAGTTTCGATAGCTTCTAGGCTGATTTTTTTTTTTTTTTTGGCGCAGTATTTTTAGAAATTGGAGTTTTTTTGTTTCAAAAGGCATCAAATTAAATTTAAAATTTGCCTAATAGAATGGATTTAACTGTGAGTGTTAATGGAGACAATTTCTTTGGTGAACGATTTAAACTTGCAAGCATTCTTCCTCCGGCAGCTTAAATTTCTGGAAGACGTTTTCATGGACCCGCCGATCTGAAGAAGGATAACGCAGTCCAGCCTCGAGATGTTTGCTAAATTCAACACTCAGATCAAGGTATTTCTCATTTACAAAACAAACAAAAAATTGTCGAAGCATAGGCCAAAAAAACTGGATATTATAATTTTTTTCACCAGTCAGTGCGAAACCTTTAGTTAAATTGTTTCGCTTTTGTTAAAAGATTATTTGTAAAAAATCGCGGCAGGTTTGTTTCGGCCCGGTCCGGTCAGTTGTTGTGTTTGTATGTAGTATGTACTGATATGGGGGTGGAGGAAGATTCAAAGGGCCAATTTAACCCCCACGTGGACCACCCCTCCCCACAAACCACTACCAGGCGGGGGCCCTAGTAACCTAATGGCATTAGTAATGAGGTAAAGAAATCACATCCTTACTACCACGAAGATAGTCAAAAGGGGAGAAAAAAAAACAATTAGTTTTTGACGTTTAACATTTCAACTTTATTTTACTCTAAAAATTTAAACAAAAGTTGTTTATAGGAAACAGTGAGTCATTCCGTGTTAAGGAAGTTTTGTGAGTCGGAGAAGAATTAGCGAAGGGGCCACCTATGTTTATCCGAGTCGCTTTATCAATGTTTTACTTTCTTCCCCCTTTCCTTTTAAAGGGTGGTCGATAATATTAAGGTCCGTCGTTTGCGGGTGGGGGGGGGACCCGGGATGGCGGGAATGAATGCATAAATCGTTTGAAACCCACTTTCTCTCCTCTTCTTTTCATAAAGGGGACCGGGGATAAAAGATTGATCATCTCTCCTGGCCCCGTTATTTGAACAGTTCTCCTCCTACCAGATCGCCGAATAAAATAACAAGGACAGGGATGGCGCGTCCGTCAGGACTTGGAACTGTCCAGCTCGACTCTTTTAGGCAGAGCAGTGGACATCCAAGATGAGATTTAACAGTATATCCTAACATATCTAACGCTTATTCAAAGAGAAATATGCCATAAAGGTAGAATAATGATAGTTTTGTCGATCTGCTATCAATTCTTCATTTGTTCTCGTCCTGATAAAGAATCAACATGAGTACGTACGTTTTAGGTGGTTCTTCTTAATGCCTATCAATCCTGTCAGGGTGGGAGTCTTCCAAGATAGTACTCTAGGCCCTTGGGGCTCCATCTACCACTGACAAGGCACATCCGGTTGACCGGAACAAGTTCCAAACCACCTGAGAAAGGGTAAACATGATTATGTCTTAGACTGTTACGGTTCTTCCCTCTGACCTAGCCATCATGTCCGGGAGTCACCCAAGGTGGCATCCTAGATCCAATTACCTAATACAGCTTAAATCCCTAATCAACCCATTACCCTGTCCATTCGTATTCTTCAACAGTTGATCTATCCACGACTGTGTACGCTACTTAAGTACTTCTTACATTGACAAACTTAATAGACGTTAGATTCGTCGCATTTGGTGGTCAACGAAGTAAGGAGCACAGCCTATATATGTACTCAACCCACCTGTTACAGGATAAATATTATTACGTTTTAAGTTGTTACACTCCCTAACCCTATTATTTAGTCAATACACCTAACATCCCTAAATAACCCGAAACCTTTCGTATTCTTCAGCAGTGTTCCTCTAATCACGACTACGTGCGCTACTCAGGACAATACATCAACACACTTAAAAGACGATCCTATTGTTGGCTGAAACCAACGCCAGGATGATTTTACGTGCATGGATTTGCCGTATTTCATGACCAGCAAGGTAGTCCAAAGAGGACATGTATGTACCATAAAAGAGACAGTTTTATGCCATCCAGTTACTATTAAGCACTCCTTACGATCGAAAGGTACTTTCCAGCTAATTACAAGTTTCAAATCACCTGAGAAAGGATAAACATGATAATTCATAACCGGTTCTACCCCTCACTCATCCATCCTGTTCGGGCGGGAAATCTCACAAAGTAGTTCCTAGGTCCCATCATTTACTTCACACCGCTGACATCCCTAATCAACCCGAGACCGTGCCCACGCGTATTCTTCGACAGTGTTCCTCTAACATTAACGTCCGGGCTCACCCCAAACGAGGTCTCTCAGACGCCCACTGTCAGTTTGCACGCATGGAATTAGATTTCAATACTTGTCGCTTGGATGACTTTACATGCATGGACTTGTCGCAGTCGTTGGCTAGCAATGCAACGTCATGTAGTAGAGATTCCAAGCTCTGCTTCCATGATTCAGAATTATTTTTAAGGTTTTTAGTGTTCATGTCGGGGAAATGTAAAGGAAAGAGTTGGCTACTCCGAGACACCAGAGTCGATGGTAGGACTTGTTTAGGGCCATAGGGTACCCTGAGTTGATGTTTGATTACAACAGACTACACTGACCGCGGATAAACAATCATCATAAAAACTCCTATAGAATCCAAGCTAGTCTAAATCCCTCTTTCTATGTCAAACTGTTATGTGTCCAATCATACAACATGACCTCAATATCCCACGTCCTAAAATCATAACACATTCCACACCTTACTTCATGTCATTCCAATCCCCTAGTAAGCCGATTTCCTCAGCCTGACTTCCTGATAGTCCTCAACGTCAGTGACAAGTGCTTATACAATACTTACATCGGAGAGTCGCTGCAGTTGTTGTCCCATAAAATGAAAATAATTATCCGCGTGTTCATCTATGAGTGCCTGTTTTACGATGCGTCAAATAAAATTGTTGGTCCGAAGTGGGGGCTCTGCTTAACCAGCATTCCTCTAAGCGAATGTTCTTTATGCAGAAAGGTATAATTTGACCTAAATCGCTGTTTGTTCTTCGTACGCCGTTTTTGCTGGTTTGTACGTCGAACGGTCACGAATATGGATTGATTCAATTCACAAAAGATATGTACCATTGTATGTGGCGTTTCCTGACAGTTGGCTGTTTCTGTCTTTAGATGGTACTTGGGAGGATGGCGAGTACCACCAGTATAAGACGGATAAATGTCCTCAAATTTCGCCTGCAGTGTGTGTGTGTGTGTGTGTGTGTGTGAGTGTGTGTGTGAGAGAGAGAGAGAGAGAGAGAGAGAGAGAGAGAGAGAAAGAGCAGTTCTTTCACCTCCTTTTTGGGCGATTCATACCTAATGTTTTTGTCCAGTGCTTGAGTTTTGCTCTCAAGCAATTTTTTCCAACCCTAGATTTAGCACACTCTCGAGTTATAGAGAACTCACTGGGTGAGAGGGCAAGTTCCTGTTCATTTCGTTCATGTCCTGGAACTCACTTTAAGTTAATTCCTAAGGCCATTAGGTAATTTAGGTATTCCTAGACCTACCTATACCTAGGATCTAGCGATGTTTTGACCTAAAAGCATACCATTTTCATGGCTTTAACCGAAAGTATGCAAAAATCAGTACCAACGGTGCTAGGGTATGATTCGGCCCCTTTACTCCTGCACCTCGTCCTACCTTTGATCCATCTTCCTAAGATCTCCGTTATATATGTCAGCCTTAAAGGGCCAAAGTTGAGATTTCCTCTAATTTTGTCAGGTACAGCCATTTCATTTAAGTTAATCCTCCTTGGACTTAGGAGGCTGAGAGGTATCCTAACGGGCCATTGCCCCTTGAGAAGACACCTCTTCATAATGGGTATTCTACCAGACCCCTTTTGCCGCTTCTGTGAAACAAAGGAAGAAACGGCTCGACACTACCTTGCAGAATGCGATAGGTATGCTAGGGAAAGATTTGAAACTTTCGAAGGAGAGAACATAACCAAAACACTCCCCAAGATAAAATGGTCCAAAATCTTGGGGTTTGTGAATAGGTCCAAAAGGTTTATACAGGACTCGTGAGCCGACCAGGTCCCGGACCTTTTTAGGGATGGGGTACGGGCCTACCTAGGCTTTTAACCCCTCGGGTCCTGGTCACCCGCCCTGCGTAATATATATAGGACCAATTTTACATCGTAGTTTGGTTGGCTCTGAAGCCAATCAACTTTTTGACCGAATTTATCCTATTTATCCTAACTTGTTTCTCCTTGGATGTCCTCGTCGTTTTTTATTTATTTATCTAGTAATTTTTTTAAGAAAAGGTCCACTTTGATCTTTATTATATTAAGTATTATTAGGTAACTCTTGATTGCCATAGCTTAACTACTACAGAAATCGGCCGAACCACAAATTTGTTATATGCATTATTTATAGGTTTTGACCCTGTTTGAAAACGTATTGTCCACATGCATATGGAAATTCCTCGGAAGGTTCAGACCGTTTCATTACGTAATCGCTGTTTATACAAGACAGTTTTAATAAATTTTACTTTCAAACGGCAAAACGACACCACCGACAACTTGACCTAAGGACGGACATTGCTTTCAAGGCGAGTCTAAACTTTCAAATATCTAAGGAGGATTTACGTTGAATTGTGAAAAAAGAAACAAGGTATCGAACTTTTTTTTTTTGAAAATTGTCCTTTCATCCTACAGAAAATCTGATCCGGGGTAAATGTAGTGTGTATGAGTTAGAAGGTTAGTCTTTATTTATCATGTAGCCAGTTATATTATCTCTTATAATTTTTAAAACTAAATAAAATAGGTTTATAAAAATAACTTAGAAATTGGTTTAAACGAGAGCTTTTAATCCTGTAACCTCCTAATAGCCTACTAACTCATACACAGCTTACGAATAGATCACAGGTTACCAAATTATCACAAGTGACTAAATAAACATAGTAAACTGTGGCTCTTTACTATTGTACCTTTCAAGACGTTGAAGAACATCTTATCGTCTGTTTACAATGTTATTGATGAAAATGAGACCTGAGAGGTGTCACCTGTGATAATTTAGTTACCTGGATATTAGTTAGAAGTTAATTGGAGATCATGAGATGCTGTCTGGTGTGACGTAGGTTTAGAAAAACATTTTCTTTATTGTGACAACGTTTCGATCTTTATTGAGGTCATCTTCAGGGCTCAAAATGTTGGTTTTCTGTGTACATGTGTCATTATTGTCTGTCGTGTTGAGAGTGCCGGGTCGTAAGAGCACTCTCAACACGACACACAAAAATGAAACATCTACACAGAAAACCAACACTTAGAGCCCTGAAGATGATCGGAATAAAGATCGAAAAGTTGTCACGATAAAGAAAATGTTTTTTTAACCTGCGTCACACAAGACCGCATCTCACGATCTCCAAATAATCATTAACTAACGGTTACTAAACACCACACATTAGTAGAAATCTCATGTATTTGTATTATCTTTACAGGAAATAAAATCAGCTTATAAAAATAACTCACAAATGCAATTGCAAGTACAAAAGCTGTCCATTCTGTAACCATTACCTTCTAACTCGAATACAGCTGATACCAGATAACTCAGGTGTCTAAATGATTGACTTAGCACAAGTATCATTTTATTTATAGAGGGAGCTTTCAAGATGATGAAGAAACCTGAGAGAGAGAGAGAGAGAGAGAGAGAGAGAGAGAGAGAGAGAGAGAGTGAGTGAGAGAGCGAGAGTGTGAGAGAGAGTGAGAGTGAGAGAGAGAAAGAGAGAGAGGGAAATAAAAGACGTAAATAACAATAGTCATTGGTGTTAATTTAGGCACTGGTCATCTATTCATCAGCTATGTATGAGTTAAAAGGTTATTAAAAGCTTACGGTATTGGGAAGTCTTGATTTTACTAGGCTGAAACGTCCAATTCTTTTTAGGTATTTTTATTGACCTATTGATTTATTCTTTTTAGAGTAAATAGAATCAGCTCTATAGAATAAAGATAACTTACAGAACAAATTATTATTACAATCTCATATAAATTGATACCATATTGACAAGGACCTTTCATCGTTGAAGATCATCTAATAGTCGACAAGACTTAAGCGACTGCTTAAGAGAAGACTTGGATAGTTGTCCTAGTTAGGAGGGAGAAGATTAAAGAATCCAAAAGGAGATTTTAGATTAGCTCCGAAATAATTCAGTACTGCCAATATCTAGGCAGATTGACTTGCAATTGTAACACAAAACTAAAGAGACAAAAACTTAAGAGACGAGTTGGACAACTAGTAAAGAGAAGAATGAAATTTAAGAGATGAAAATTGAAAATTTCAAGATAGAGATAGGAGATTTCAAGATGGAGATTATTCGTGTCGCCAATACCTAAAAGCAGACTGACATGGAATTCCAACATAAGACTTGCGAGTTATCTAGTCAGAAGAATTGGACAACTAGGTAGGAGATGAAAGATCCTAAGACGAAGATTGAAGATTTCAAGGTGGAGATTTTAGACCAAAACAATTCGTGTCGCCAATACCTAAAAGCAGACTGACATGGAATTCCAACATAAGACTTGCGAGTTATCTAGTCAGAAGAATTGGACAACTAGGTAGGAGATGAAAGATCCTAAGACGAAGATTGAAGATTTCAAGGTGGAGATTTTAGACCAAAACAATTCGTGTCGCCAATACCTAAAAGCAGACTGACATGGAATTCCCACACAAGACTAAAGAGACGAAACCTTAACTGCAGACGTAGATAACGATGAAGGAGATGAGAGAATTCAAGATGGAGATAGAAGATTTCTAGGTGGAAATTTTAGACCAAAACAATTTGTGTCGCCAATACTTAGAGAGCAGATTGACTTGGAATCCCCATAAAAGATTACAGAGGCTAAACTTAACAGAAGGCTTAGACAATTAGGAAGGAGTGATTGAAGATTCCAAGATGGAGATCGAAGATTTCAAGATGGAGATTTTAGATTGGCACCAAAACAGTCCACGTTGCAAATACCTAGACTGGAAAGTGACTTGGAATCCCCATACAAGACTAAAATTAACAGAAGACTTAGACTATTAGGAAGGAGGAGATTGAAGATTCCAAGATGGAGATATAAGATTTCAAAACAATATAGAGATATAAGATGGAGATTTTAGATTGGCATCAAAATAAGTCAGCGTTGCAAATATTTAGACAGTAGAATCCTCATACAAGACTTAAGAGACAACAACTTAATAGAAGACTTAAAACAACGACAAATTTGACCGTCAAAACTCAACTAATTCTATGAACACTTTGAAAACTTGGTCCGATAACCACACTCATCCATACCTTCTAGAAAAAGACATCAGACAAATGTCAATCTTACAAAGTCACCGAGCTCACTATCCACAATGACTTCAAAATTCTTTTTGTTAATGAACTGATCTGATCCCGCTTCCAAAAGTTCCACAAGTTTTCCTGACATCCCAGCCCTACTGCTGAAGATACATCGCACGATATCATTAACGTTTGTTAAGAATGGTTTCCTAACGTTTTCATTGAATCAGCTCATAAAGTTAACAAACTTGTTATAATCGTATTGTCGAGAAAGACAGGTCAGTAAAACAATAGTGTGTTGATTTTTTAGGAATTGTTTTGAACAATGATCACCTTAAATTGTCCTTATTTCGCGTATATGGTTCAACCTATCTGTTTCACCAGATTGGTAGTTTTCCCTCTCTTTTGAATTATGATTGTTTCTTTTATATGCCAGTAAGAGTTTTTTAATACATTGTTTTCTAACCGTAAATGTTTTATTTTCCTCGAAGATTATTAAAAAATTTAATTTGTATGCAGGATAAATTTGGGGAGTGGCTATTCTCCACTTCCCCAGAATTACTACAGGTTCTGTCATCGTACCAGGTAACTTTATATGAGATTTTTGGATATAAATACATAAAGCAAATATTGTGTGATGATAAGCATGTTATATTTAGAAGATATTGGAGTTCAAAATGATCTATGTGTATCATTGTTGGACACTGGTAAGAGTTGTAGCCGAACGGTGTACCTGCTTTGTCGCATATAGATTCAGAACTCAACTAATATAATTACGTACTTTAAAAAAATGGACTTTTCAAAACAACAAATCTCACTTTTATATTTACTCTTCAAACCGTCTAATGTGTACTTTTCTTTTTGTTTTCTTTTTTTCTTTTATCCTTCACGCCTTGCAGAAGGCGGACAATCTGGAAGACATATACAAGAAAGAGGTAGAGCCTGTTCAACAGCAATCTCGTCCGGTTGAGACACTCGATAAATCAAAATATGTTGAACCGTTTCAGCAGATGGTGGTACACCAGCAACAGATCGTCCATCAGATCCAAATGTCCCAGAGGCAATACGCCTTGCAGCAAGGGACGAGCCAAGAAGCGCAACCCAACTCCTCTTCGAAACCTTCGGGTGAGTCGTTTCTTTGACAAAGCGATAGATAGATTAGCCTAAATAAAAAATGACTTTCCATTTTCAGTCATTTTTAATTGTGCAACATTGTTAACATTTGATAACCAATGTTACATGTTTAAATTTGGTTGTTGGTAATCTTGAAGGTTTTGATAAAACAATACAAATTCTTTCCTTTTTTCTCTTTTTTTTATAATCAATTTATGGAGAAATATTTTATAAATTGAGAATATACAGCCCAGCCCCACATTACTTTTATCTTCATATAAAATTTTTTTCACCCTTTATGAAATTTCGAACACATTTCTAAGATGATTCAAGTACATTTATGTTTCAATTTTGGGTTGGAGATTCTTACTTCTTTAATTGAACGCATTTTCTTCCGACTTCTTCGTACCTTTTTTATCTTTCCACGAAAATAAACGAGTTGCACGGTTAGTACATTTTTATCATATGTTATCGACTGCAAATGGTGCCGAATCAATTTTGCAGATTTTCATTTCAACCAAATCCTTACATAAAAAGATTAATTAATTGAAAGACGTTATTTGGTCAATCAGACCACGAAATATAATGGATTTGCAGAGTTTAAACGATGCTAAACCAGATCAACTCGGTTGCCGTACGGGTTTAACATAGGTTCAGTGCCGTTGATGGAAAATGGGCTTGCGGGGGTGGACTAATGCGGCCGATGATCATCAATGATCAATTTCACCGCCACTAACAGTTTTAAAATTTAACCGCCGCTTCAGAATGAGGTGGGAGACCGCATTCTCAGATATCAGACCTGACTTTTTTACACATTACAACACCACCACCCACACACAATTTTGTATTCTGGCCCGAACCTCACTCAAGCCACCTCGAACATCCAAGAACAGGTCGAATTGATCAAAGTCTGAAGCAAAAACTAAAGGACAAGGCTGAAAGAGAAAAATGTACACACATTTACATTGAAAAAAAATTGCCCTCAATTGTACTCCAACAACAAGGATTTACCGAAGATTTCCAAGATGGAGATTGAAGATTTTTGAAGATTTTAAGATGAAGACGGAAGATTCCAAGATTGAGATTTTAGATTGACACCAAAACAATACAGTGTTGCCAACACCTAAAAGCAGATTAACATGCCACCCACAAGACTAAAGAGTCAAAACCTTAACAGGAGACGTAGACAACTAGGAAGGAGATGAATGGTTCCAAATTGGAGATTGAAGATTTTAAGATGGAGATTTTAGATTAGCACCAAAACAGTCCACGTTGCAAATACCTAGACTGGAAAGTGACTTGAAATCCCCACACAAGACTAAAGAGACTAGAATTAACAGAAGACTTATACATTTAGGAAGAAGGGATTGAAAAATCCAAGTGGTCATCAGAAATTTCAAGATGGAGAGTTTAGATTGACAACGAAACAGTTCGTGTTGCCAATACCTAGACTGGAGATTGATTGGAATCCCCACCCAAGACATCAGACTAAAGCTTAACAGAAGACTTAGGCAGTTACGAAGGAGGAGATTTTAGATTGGTGCCAAAATAATTCTGTGTTGCCATACCTCAAAGCAGACTGACATGGAACGCCACCAATAAGACTAAAGAGATAACTTAACAGACGGCGAAGATTTTAATCTGAATTCACGGCAGAACTAGAAAACCACATACTGTATAAACGTTCGCAAAATCTCAAATACAACTAACTGCAATTGGGCATAAACAAAACATCAACAGCGACATCATACGCAACCCATTACTGATACGACCCCACTGGACATATAGATACGTAATATGGGTCTCTGCTTCTCAATGAAAGATAAAAAAAAAGAATACAAAATAGAACAATAACAATGACACCATTGGTACTTTCGAAATAAGACTAGTCACGACGAATTGATTATCACTAGTTGGAAATGGCATCAAGCAGTCCGATGACAACATGCCTGTATGATTGCCCAAATAGGTTCTTATCTTTTTTACCATATTTTTAAACTTCCTGTTGTAATCCTGAGCTAAGCTTCATGGCTCATTTTAGCCGAAGAAACGTTTTATTTTTTATTGTATTCTGAAGGGATGTGATAATCAACGTAATCGGAAATATGGGGCTAGGGGCTGTTCTTATTTATTTATATTTTTTTTAACGAGGGTACGCAACAGCAGAGGTTATATCAACCCTCGGGGTGCCGGTGTTTTTTGAAAAAAAAAGCCCATTTGTAAGTATGTCGGATTCGAATGCAGGGCCGCTGGATTTGAACCCGAGACCTTTTCCTTACAGTGATGAGCTCCGTGTCAACGGCCACCGACGCCCCCTGCTGTTCTTATTAATCGGTGTGGTGTTGGAACCGGGTAGTCCATTAAATGATTCTTTAAATCGTATCGATCCTCACATCTGGGGGTGGTGTAGAGAGTAGAGACGAACCCCACCCCTGCTCAGCCACCGCCCACACCTCCGAAGGGGTGGGCCCGCTTGTTTTCCTTCCCTCTAATATGCACGTCGATTGATAAAATAACAAGCAAATTGAGGTGAACTGTATCGAGGAAATAGGAAAAGAGTGGGGAAAAAATCCCCTTTTGTTCTACGGACCGTTTGCCATCTCGAATCTCGAAGTTCTGCATAGTCAGCACAATAACAGCCCTCCCACTCCGCACTCCCGACCAAACAAATTGAACTCATTTCCATTGTTCAACCCCTCCACACTCACCCCTCACCTTCTAAATTATATCTCCAAATCACGGGCTCAACTTAAATAACCAGTTAGTGAAAATTCAAGTTGGAAGTTTATCCTTAAGCTTATCCTTAGTGCCGAACCTAGGAAATACCATTGATATTGATACAGCAATTAAAAGATACAAGATGTTAAAGCATTGAATTTTTTTAAACTCTTTTCAAATATCGAAAAGTATAAAAATAAGGAAAATGGTGCCAATTCTTGCAGGGAATCCAGGTGGTTGTGCCCGATCGTTAAAAGCCCACATTAAAAGAATTGGCGCCAAAACAATCGGTTTTGCCAATACACGGGCTGTAACAACATTGCATCAGCCAAAAAATGTCTATTTTTTTCTCTCACTGTCACAAAATTTCTAAATTTGGCGTTGCTCTGAGAAAATTGGGCCAGAAAGGATTGAAATTTGGTTTATCTGCCTAACCTCTAGTACGTGCTTCATTTCTTGATCCTTACCATCGTATGCAGTTTGATTGGCCAAGATGGAGATTGAAAATTCCAATACAGAGATTTTAGATTGGTGCAAAAACAGTTCTGTTTTGCCAATACATGGGCGGTACCACTGCAGGAAACGTAAAGTCACGGGATTTCTATCTAAAATTGTTAAATAATTCAGCAGTTAAGGGTTAATAGTATTCTGTAATTCTTTGAGAAAAAACGTAAAATACTTTTGTGAAATTTTTAAGATCGGCAGTGATGAACCTGTAACTTTATCGTTTCCTATCCTTTGTTTTTGGTCCAACAGACCCCCCCCCCGCATAGTTCGGTCTGCCGTTAGTTTATGTTTCTACGATGGTCCTTTGATGAACTTTTTCGCATTACGCTAACCTAATCCGTCCCAAACACCAACCATAACCTTACCTAATCTAAACCTTCCCTAACACTAAACTAACTTAAACCTAACATAGCCATTACTAACCCAACCCACGAAAAAAATTGTGTATCCAGCCCAAAACATCTCTCAGCATGTCTTGTGATGATCAATGTTCCTTACTGAAACTTACTAACTTTTCACGGTATTAGTTTCTTTCGATATCGGGCAAAGGTGGAAAACGAAAACATCTCCATCCAATAATCAGAGTCAACGGCGGACATCAGCGAGCCAAAATCGGCTAATAATTAATAAGAAAGTTGGTATGAGTCGAAAAAAAAGTCACGTTATTTAGCTATAAACTTGATTTGTACGCCCACAAAAAAGTGACTTTTTTCAATGGTTATTTTATAATATGAATTGTTATATTTGAACTCTTGTGAATTGTATTGTATATGAATTGTAATTTGAATATGTTTAAATTTTAAGTGTGGACTTGCGTTGAATCACGAATGTAGATGCCGCTATGCCGAAGAGAACTGTAAAATTAAAATTAAAAAATTGTCTGTTTATTATTTGTTATATTTGACAATTTTAAAACAAAATAATGCTTATCGTTCGGCATTTCGGCAAGAGGTTGATTTCAACCGACAGGGAAAATTGGACGACTTAATGTTGTGTGTACCCAGTGGCGGAAATGATACATGGTCACGTTGGTGGTTAACTAAGTACCCTAGAATGACATCAAATCCAGGGTACTTAGTTAACCACCAGGGAGGTCAGAACTAAGCATCGCCCCATCGTAGTAAACAGCCAACGCTTCTTCATTCTTTCTTCTTTTTTCTAAATTATTGTGGGCATTTGTAATGTAATGTGTACCGATAAGACCCAAAAAAGTGAGCGTAACATCGTTTAGATACATATATAGAGAATATCACACCCACACCCCTAGAGTCCCTTCTCTATATAGCTGATAACCTACTTTTAGTCACAAGATTTGCACCCTTATCCTAGAATACTCGAGAATTCTTCGGGTGGGGTTGAACCTTCTCCATCCTAGTTGATAACTTCCTTTTACTTACCAGACGTCCCACACTCACCCACGAGTACTCGAAATCCTCGGGGTGGGGTTGAACCTTCTCCATCCTAGTTGATAACTTACTTTTACTTACAGACGTCGCAAACCCGCCCTAGAATACTCGAGAACTCTCCGGGTGGGGTTGAACCTTCTCCATCCTAGCTGATAACTTCCTTTTACTTACCAGACGTCCCACACTCACCCACGAGTACTCGAGAACTCTCCGGGTGGGGTGAACCTTCTTCTTCCTAGCTGATAACTTACTTTTACTTACCAGACGTCACAAACTCGCCCTAGAATACTCTAGAACTCTCCGGGTGGGGTTGAACCTTCTCCATCCTAGTTGATAACTTACTTTTACTTACCATACGTCGTACACTTGCCCTAGAGTACT